GAAAATGATGCTGGCTGCATGAGGGAAGGTGAGCAAAGGCTTACCAACAGTCCGAAGAAGAAGGGATTGGTTCCACAGTCAGTCCCTGGCCTTGTTTTCAACTGATGGTCTGAAGACACATCGTGATGGTCATCTCGACTTTGAGATGGCAGCTCTTCCTCAGTCATATTTTGAATGTCTTCTGACATGAGTGGCTCATCTTCTGGCACTATCTCTGACAATGTTCTTCTTTGATTCACTAGGTTTTCAGTAGGTGAAAGGTCTCCATGCACTTCATAAGGTTTTCAATGACTAATTCCTCTGAGGTGAACAGCCGATTCCGTCTTCCTAGTCTGTTTTCAGTCTGAAAACCTGTTTATGTTGGGTGACCCTGTTCACGTGGGTGACCCTGCTGGTGTTTGAAATCGCAGTGTCATCGCTTCCCGCATCGCAAGTAACACAAGCCACCACAGGATGATAAACTGACAGACAGGTGGTACTTTCCTAAAATCTCCTTGCTCCAATCCTAAAATCCATGGCTATAGCTTAAGCCGCCCCACCCAGCTGGCCCTGATTTTCTGAGCTGCTCCAGTTACCAATACCGACTGTGAGAGAGGGGGCAGGAAAGTTAACAGAGGGCCTGCAGCCCATTTGGGATGGCCCCAAACTTCCACGATTACCAAGAGCATTCCATACAGACCTAAACAACCATGAACAATTACAGTTAAGTTCCAGATTCAACACTTTTCTTTTTCAGAGAGTTGGTCATGTCGTCCTGGGTTTTATGTTGGGCTGCTAAACCCCAGGATCAGCAGTTCAAAACCACCAGCTGGTCCCCAGGGGTGGGCGGGGAGGGGCAGAGAGGGAAGGAGAATGAAGAGGTCTGTCCTCTCCACATGTGCAACCTGGAAAGCCTGAGGGAGCAGTTCTCCTCTGTCCTGTAGAATCGCTGTGAGTTAGAAGTGATCCCGTGGGTTTGGAGCAAGGGGATTCATTTCACAAGATGTTTAAATATCTGCAAGTCTCTGAACTGCCCAACATGCACTGTGTTTTACCCCAAGAATACGTCAGGGACATGATTGAGGTGGTGACTCTTGGTTCGTGCCAGGAAGAGCATCACCTACACCGGGATAAAGAGATGGCCGTACGTATTATTGAATGAGGTTGTTCATCGTTATTTCTTAGTGGAATTCGACAGCATCGATGGAGCACGGAGATGCAGAGCGAGTGTACATTTTTAGGATTAGGAGCTCTGTGTTCAAGAATTTGTCTTCCTGCCAAGGGGGGCTAGATAATATTGCTGCAACTTGAGTTCTATTATAAAACTTAGAGAGAGAGAGAGAGAGAATGTGCGGTAAGATCAAGAGAGGTAACATGTCTCGCTGTGAGTTCACTACAAGGCTCACTGTCCTTGGACAAAGCCCTCTTAGGTGCCATCAAAAGCCATGTCCCTTCAAAAGCCAAACATATTATTATTATTATTCCATTTGAAACGCGTTTTAAAACCCACTCCACCCCTGTAAGCCATTTAAAAAGCCATCAATGACCAGACTGCCACCCAAGAATTGTGAATGCGAATGAGTCTCTTCTCTATTGCTCCTAACATCTGGAGATTTGTAAGCACTTCTTATAGGCAAAGGAAGCCTGCAGGCATGAAGGTGAATTGGGGAGTGAATCACTAAGAAGTGGGGAAAGCTGAAATTTAGAGTTGGCCGGGAAGGTCACTCATGCTCTCAGTATTTGTTCCCAGTGTTACAGAAGATGGGGACCCCTACGTGCGGCCCGAGGATGAGAACTTTGAAAATGACTCCGTCCGGCAGCTGGAGAGTGAACTCAAGATGGAAGAATACCTGAAGCAGAAGCTGCAGGATGAAGCCTATCAGGTACCAGAGTTCCAGGCCACAGCCCCACCCACCCTTCTTCAGAACTAGGACCTTGACATGACTCACAAGATCAGTGCCTTCTCCTTCCTCTACCCTCCCCTTCCAGAATATTCAGTTTGCCCTCCTTATGCTAGGCCTTCTAGGTAGAAGACCTTTTCAATAGTTCCTCTAGGGGGCACTCACTAGGTGCCCTCCTAAATTCTCATCTTGAAACGAAAAGAGGCCTTGTGTCCTGAGCAGAGCCATAGTGACTGACAGTTCCGACTCCCCCAGGACCGTGAAGAAAGATAGATTCTTTCCTCCTAGATTAAAAAGAAACACATGACAAGGACATTGACTAAGCATAATGACTTCACTGCCCTTGTGAGGGAGATGGTTGCAGTAATATGTCTCAAAGCCTCCATCCTCTTCCGCACTCCATGCCCCCCTCATGCCACATGTCCATGTGAGAGTGGCGAACCTCAGGAAGAAATGCTGAGTCACACAGTAGTGAATAAGGTCCTTCTTAGTTACTTCCTATTAGAGATGGACCATGTAAATGGCTCTTTTGGATGGACAGGTTTTTCGGAATTCAGGTCCTTGCATTTGTAATGGATTTGTAATGGATTTCTTCACTCCTGCTGAAAGCGATGCCATGACTCCCTGACAAGTGTGTCTACTGCCTTGGGTGTCTGTCTCGTAGGTCTCTCTGCCCTTGAATCCACAGGGGCTTCGTTAGGGTTCTGGGGGTGCAGGAGGTTTGCCTGTTCAGACCTGCTCTTCTCCAGGCCTGTGGGTTCTTTCATCCGGGCAAGCTTTGTCTTCGAGGTTCTCCATTTTCTTAGGGTGTTGGTGGCCCTCGGGCTCTGGGAGTGAAAGAACAGGAGCACACATGATCTTTATGTCTCAGATGTTTACCAGTTAAGCCTTGAAGCCCTTTCTTAAGGAGAATTGTAGAAGAGAGGGCAGATGACACCCCCCATCCCACCTCAACAGTATCAACCACAAGTGGGCCTCTTCGAAGTATTTTCCATTCACCTTTGCAGTTTTAAGAGCCACGGTCAGACGCACTAAAATGGTGGCCTTGTCATTACAAACATCACATAAGTAATGGAGACTATACAGGGAAAAGGAGCCCAATCGTGTAGTAGGTTACCCATTGGACTACTAACCTTTTGGAAACCATTAGCTGCCCCAAAGATGAAGGGGGAGGCGTTCTCCTCCCGGAAAGAGTTGGTCTCAGTCTCACTGGAGTAGACTCTGACCTATAGGATCACTATGAGTCGGACTTGACTCAATGGCAGCAGGTGCAAATGGTTAGCACGTTCGTCTGCTAACCAACAGATTGGCAGTTTGAGTCCACCCAGAAGCACCTTGGGGGAAACTGGTGATTGATTTCTGAAACATCAGCCATTGAAAACCCTGTGAAGCACAGTTCTACACTGACACACCTGGCGCCGTCATGAGCTGGGGTCAACTCAGTAACAGCCGGTTTGACATAGGAACGCCATGTTCCACTGAACTGCAAAATCTCTCAAGGTCTCCTGACACAGGCACTCAGTGGAAAGCACTCTTAATTTGCAACCTCTGAGATTCATCCACAAAGGGAACTGGCATGGAACAAAAACTGCCAACATCTCTGGGGAGATTGAGAGATGACACTCCTACCTGGCCTCCTTCGTTCCTTGCTGCACGGAGGGCGTTGTGGCGATGGGTGAGTCATCAGGGCTCTACTTCACGCTGTGCAAGGCACCAATTAGGACTCCCTCCGGGAGCTCAGATCAGTGTCTGGATTTTGATGGTAACAACCCTAAAATTCTGTAAGTTTTGTGAGTTTGTTTTTTTCTCAAGGAGCGGCCTCCCTCTTTCACCATTTCGTACAAAATGATGGATTTTATTTGTCTTCATGGACTAGGAATTTAACTTTACCTGAGTAAAATTAAAGGGAAGTTCGATTTGGAGGTTCAGCCTCACCTGGGAAATCTTCCGCTCCTTCTCTCTCTCCTTTCCCTTCCTTGCTCCATGACTTCAGGGGCCAAGGGCAGGGCAGGGGCTTTGAAGTCAAGGAAGTGGGAACAGTAATGGGCCTGTGTCTCGAGATGTGTTCCCTGGAGGTGGAGATGGTTGCCCTGGGTACCCTGTAGGCCGATCGTTGTTTGATGGAGCGGAAGGCTGCCTTCATCCATGATGCTTTCACTCTGTCTTGTGCATGGCTTTCAGCCAAATAATTCACCAGCTTGACTGCTTCACAGACTTGACATGTCACCTTTCTTGTTTGTGTCCTCTGTCACCCACAGGTCAGCTTGCAAGGTTGAATGCAATGTCCTTTTATCACTCTCCTCTCAAGTAAGTACTCTCGTTAGACGGTGGCGTGGCCACTGCGCTCTGAGTTCTGCCTCCTGCTACAGTCACAGTCACTCTCGCTCTGGTGTTTCTAGATGGCCCAGTGTCCTCCTTCTGAATAGTCCGGATCTGTGCAGCATCTTGATTAGCCAGTGGAGATTTGGCAGAAATCTTGAGGATCTGGGGGCTTTTTTATTCAGTCCATTAGAAACTTCTCTAACTAGAGGTGCCCCAGAAACCCTCTGTGAGTGACGCTTTCCTTAACAATCATCAAGTTTGCAACTTCTCTAGCACTTGAGAGGGGGCAAAAAGAAGTCTAAGCTTGCCCAACGTCAATAGAGATGAGCCATCGTCTCCCTCAGTCAGGCCGCTCCAAAAATCAGATATATAAACCTTCACCAGTCAAATGAAAGCCATGTGTAATTCAAGGGAAAATAACATGTAGAAGAAACATTTTCAGCTTTATGTTCGGAGATCGCTGAGTCAAATCCATTGTGAAAGGAGGTAGGAATTAATTTTTTAAACCATCTACGTGGAATATGACCCCATCCCAAGGATCTACCTAAATAAGCCTTGTCTAGGCCTGTCTAAGCCCACTCAGTTCAAAAAGAAAAGTTAATGGAGAGAGAATGACAGTGGGCTGCCAGAACTTTAAGGCCGTGGGCTGCAGTGTGAGCTTTGGACGCCAGTCAACCCGGCTTCAAAAATGGGCTCTTTGACATCCTAGCAGCACAAACTTGGACAAATTATTTTTCTTTCTAAAACAGATCATCACAGTGTACTTGCTGGTATGCTGCTTTCAAAGAGCGTTGTGCAGTAACGCGGCATTAAGATTTGCTCTAGCATACAGCAATCATGCCTAATCCTATACCCAGTGCTTGGCAAACAGGCCAAGAACAGGGAGGTGCCGTGGTTATTATCTACGGGAACCCCCAGAATCAGAACTAGGGTTCAGCTCACTGGCAATGAGTCGCTTCACCTTGGACTGCAGTATCACAGAAGGCTCAGTGAAGTGATATTGAAGTGCACTCGGAGTCTTTCATGACAATCAAATTCATCTCAACACAAAACAAAATGTATCACAGCAATCTACATGGCTTCTCTAACTCGAGCTAACGGCCATTTCGATGTCCTCTCTTAGAGTGCCAAGTGTACACACTGCACTGATGGCTCTGACCTAAAGACTGTGTCGAATGACACACCTTCCCCAACCTTGGAATCCCCTCAGTCCACAGGGACGTTTCCAGTGAACTCCATCAACTCCGGTTGTTAAATTGGAAACGGGATAGATAGCTCCTACATACCAGTAGCCACAATACATTTTAGCTCAAATACTGCTGGGCCCCAGACTCCGGCCTCAGATAGATGAAGCAGGGGGGAAGCAGGGCATAATCATTATTATGAAATATGCCTTATCCGCTCCGAGGTTCTTCTGATGTGAAGGGGGGGCTTGTGTTGACTGCCTTCTACTCTCCCTCCCTTGGATTTGAGACTTCTCCACCACATGGCTCCTGACTTAACATGATTAGAGGGAAAACATTCCCAGGAGCTGATTCTGAAAATAGGAACTCCAATTATAACAACTTCAGTCCCAGCGGAGCAAGATCTTTCCTTTGAGACCATGTTCCTTCTCTTAGTTCCAACAATTTGATCATTTTCATTCTGTGTATGATTTAAACATCAGTCGAATATTTTTAATTTCTTAACTAATAAAACAGCCTTGACATGAACCCACATACATACAAGTTATATTTCATTTTTGTACCCCCACACCATAAACAAATTCCAGTTTTTTGAAAGAGCTCAGATCATTTGTCTCTTTTGCTGCATAATTGACAGGGAGCACTTTTTAAAAGATGTGACCTCTGGCATTTATTGCATCTGTACCTCGCTGACTTTCCACAGGACTCTAATCCAGTCTGCCACTAACTCCTCCTCATAGGCAAAGTTCTCTTAAAACCCAATAGAACGCTGCAGAAAATAGTAAGTCTATATCATTGCATATGGTCCTACCCTACTACGATTTTTTCGTAATGTAATCAAGAAATAGAAACGAACATATTCTAAAACCTGTTTTGTTTGAATTTTCTGACTATGCTGCAAGACCCGAAATTATCTCGGAGTATCTGTATTTGTTAACCCACGGTCGTGGAGCCAACTGGACTGCCTGGAAGTCTATTAAGCCATCTGCCGAGGCAGAGCCCAGGGCAGGGATTGAGTGGACAGCAAGACCTAGCCGCTGCTCTCAAAGAGCTTTCAGCCAATTTTAAAATAAATATGCACTTACCAATATATTAAAAAGATTACAGTTGTATGAGCCCCTAATAAAATGTTTTTTAAAAAATAAATAAATAAATAAATAAACCACAAACTTAAGGTTTAAAAAAAAAAAAAAAAGATTACATAGTTTATGGATTTTCATCCAGCCAGTTCTAAAGAGATATTATCCTGAAGGATTAGCACTCAAGCTATAGCTCCAACAAGCCTCCAGTTGAGGCCGCTCCCACCTTGGCCATCCTCTGTAACCATCCTCGGCCATTCTCCTTGGCAGCCGCATCCTGACTTCAGATTTGGGGCGATGGGACAATCAGCAAGAGCTGTTCCTTTTTTTTTCTTTCTATCAGCCTGACGTTAGGACATTGGGTCAGTGGTCTGTCTCACCTCCCTGTTCAAAGGACAGCCTTTATGCTGTTTCCAAGAGCCTTGGTGCCAGAGTGGTTACAAGTGTAGACTGCGACCCACAGATTTTTTGCTTCTAGAAATATCTACCGCCCTGGGAATGCACCGGGGCAGTTCCAGTCTGCACGATCGGCTTGCTTGAGTGCATCCGGATCGGCTCCGTGGCCGAGAGTGTGGTTTATTGAGTCTGTGCTGCTCCAGACATTCAGATGTGTCCGTGCATGTTCAGAAAGTCTAAGGCACTCATTACTGACTGCCATTGGAAGGAAGGTGTGTGTGTGTGTGTGTGTGTGTGTGTGTGTGTGTGTGTGGTGTCAGGGGCGCTGGGGCATCCTAAGCTTCATAGCCCTATCTAGAGAATTGTGTCCACCTTGTCAAAAACACCCACATTCCTTATTCCCAGGCAAGCTCTAGTCAGACAGATGCTGAACGTAACCCGGCAGCCGGTGACGCTGGAGAGTGCTGTCCCCGCCCAGGAGGAAGGCCGCAGCCTGGCATCAAGCTCGCCTGGACAGAGGCACCACCCCACGCAGCCGCTCCCGACAACCCCCAGCCCCTAAAGATATGGTCTGCTGACTCTAGGCCAGCTAACATTTTGTTCTAAGATGTGTAGTTCATAGGTGTGTGTCTCGAGAAGGGGGTGGGGGGAAGACTTTTGTTTCAAGCTAACTTTCTCAGCTCCATCTTGTCACCCGACTCATCCCTGGTAAAGAGCAGAGGCCAACCCCGGCGCTGCTGATAGACATGATGGCAGTATTAACCCGCATTTCCAACCTTTGCACATACTGTTGAACCTGGCCCGTTGACAAGGAGAATCTTAATACTGTTTGTAGCTAGATGTTTGCTTTCTGAATTCTTTGAGATTTTAGCAAAACCAGTTATTATACACTGTACCTTTTTTTTTTTTTTCCCACAGCAATTGAGGGAAAACAACCCCTTGCCATTAGTCGCTCACCCTGAAGGTTTGGGGTTCGTGAGTGTACTGACTCAGAGTCCTGAGGCCAAGGAGAGTTTTTGGCCTGCAGTTCACACCGAGTCTCCGTGAGCAGAGACTTGAACTCGGCACCCCAGGAGCATCCTTCTTTGGGGCTCCTTTCGCACTCGGCGGTTGTTTTCTTTCAAGACGCTCTAACAAATCAGCCATAGAATTTAGTGTAAATATTCTTTTCCAAATAGAGATCATATTCAAAAAAAAAAGGCAACATTCAAAGTATATAGAATCTAGTTTTTCAAATCAGCACAGATCTTCTGAAAACTGTGAACTATGTTTTGAGATACTCGTTACTAAAGCTGTTTATAAACCACAGGTGCCATACGATTCCCCAAACCGACTGAAGGGATCTATGCTCTTCCATGGTCTTTCCTCTCGTCGTCGTAGCTTTAGGGAGCATGTCTTTAACCACACCGCCCAGCCACCCACCACTTCCCCTATCACGTTGTTTGGAGGCCTTCAGCTTTAAATGTACAGGCTTAAAGTGCGCTTGCAAATGTTCGCTCTTTTCATTTCTGAATGTCGATTGCCTTAGCTGGCCACCTGGTGTTCTGCATGCCGCCTTCTGTGGTCCTGTGAGAAGAGGCAGGCTCTTCGGAGTTGAGTTGGGATTTCTGCACTCGGTAAGAAGCTGACGTGCAAAAGGAGGTGGACGAAAGACTCTGCAGATGGTCTTTTTGTCAAGGGTCCTGTTAAGGGAAGCCAAAAGATCATCCTTGGAGATTCTGGGGGAAGTAAAAAATAGTCTTCGACTTCTTCCAAGATTTCGAGAGAGGGAAAAGGAAACTGCCCTGGTTTTGATGTGTCCTGTTGCAATGATGAGCTCCAGAATGCCTGTCGCTCCTGTCAAAGAGAGGAGGTCCCTTTGGAGCAGTGCTTCTCAAAGGGTGGTCTCCGGACCCGCCGCAGCAACATCCCCTGGGAATTTATTACCAATGCAATTTCTTAGTCGCCCACCCCCTCCCCTAGTGTCCCCCCCACCTCCCCGGGCCTACTAAGTTAGAAGCTCTGAAAGTTGGGCCCAGCAATCTGTTTTAATAAATCTTGCAGGCGGCTCTGATGCACCTGGTTTTAAAAGAAAGTCGTAGAATCAAGTCTCTGGACAGGCCTTAAGGTCTTATTCAGAATCAGAAAGAAAGGTTCTGAATCACCCTCAAAGCTTCAGAGATTAGATTTTGCTTCCAGAACCGGCAAAGACTTTCCTCAGCTGGCGGGCATCCAGCTGAGAGCAGGGGTCGTGACCAAACATCTTCTGGCTCTCTCCGGAGGGCAGAAGTATGTTGGTGTCTCTGCACTGGATCAAAGCTCATCTCCTCGGCAGCCCTTTTGGAACCAAATCGCTTGCCTTGGGGACTTGCCCTTGGTTTCTATTGATAAGGAGCTCAGCCTGCCCCTTGATGGACTCCGCTCTCCTTCCCTCCAGAGAACCAGCCTGACAAGCATCCCCTAAGCGCAGGCTGACACCAAAGTGGCACGACTGCACAGTTCTCAGATTTCTTTGCACAGATGTATTTTGTGGGTTTTGTTGGTGTGTCTTAACGTTCATCTCTTTTCCACTGCCCATCCTCCGTGAAACCATACCTCTCTCGATGGAGCAAGTGGCCCTTGGTGCCTCCTAGTCAATACTTAAAACCACTACACCCCGACGACCTGCATTGCTATCAGCTCTACATCAGAGGCAGGGGGTTCCTGAAACGGGACATCAGACCCCATGGCTGGCCTCCTGCCACAGACTGGACGGAGCTGATATTCATGGTCACTTTGTGTTTCTGCATCCAAACGTGTGTTTCAGGTTAACCCTGGCTAGCTGGTAACCTTCCCTCCTGTCATAACTGCCATTGCCAACTCCATTGTACAACACCATGGCAAGGACTCTGGGAACTGCTGCCCATGACCAAGTTCTGACTAACCAGCCGCCTTTTCTTTCCCGTAGCTCCGCGTCAGCACTGAGACCAGACTCAAGCACCCCTGTCCTGTAACCAAGACAAAATGGCGTGTGTTGTTTTGGTTTTTCGTGGTTTTGGGTGGGTTTCTTTCCTTGGCTCTCCAGATTTACTTTTGGGGCCTGATCTAAGTGCAAAGCCATCAGGTTTCACCTGCCCATGAGATTCAACTCCATCTTCCGATGGTGGTTTCTGGCTTATTCCACATTGAATTGCACATCCATTTCCATCAGAGATGCTGGCCTATTAGTGAGCACTGGTCTACCGCAGCAAACCCTCCCCCAAAGCACCAGGTTAAGAGGGGCAGGGTGAGATCTACTGTATGGGATTCAGAATCAGTTGTGGTTGGTCAGGATGGAAGTTGGGGTAAGTTTGGTTGGTCAGAGGGAGATGTGCTGGAGATTGTGAAAAACAATGGGTTCTTGAATGATCGACACTAAGACAGGGAAGGTTCGTTTGTAAGTGGTAATGTGAGCTGAATTGCATTAAGAGTGTGGCCTTTGTTGTGATATCCTATGTATTTTCTTATATGCATGAGCCAAACTCTTGCAGCATAATTTAGCACTGGTGTCTGCTTTTATTTTGATCATCTTTGTCCACTCTTATTAGTTCTTGGCTGTTAACTGTAGATAGACCTTGTAAATACGGCAACCTGTGGTTGCTGCAAAACTCACCTTGGTTCAAATCCCTAGTAAGGAGCCACAGAAAAACTCCACTGTGTCCTCAGAAGAAAAGGCATTTTTACTTTTGAACCAAAAAGAGGGGCGGGGTGGGGGTGGGGCCAATTGGAAGCATTGTATCATGAGGCTAACTAACTGTAAGACCTTTTTAATTATGACTACTGTAATTTGACACCTTTTAAAATAACCAATTCAGAGACACTACAGAGTTCACAACATTCATTGGTATCGTAACAAAACTACTATTGTATGGGTTTTTGGTTTTTTTTGTATTGCTGTTAAGTATTGTTTTGTGTGTATGTGTGTGTGTGTTGGAACCTACTGGGGACATGTTATATTTTGAAGTGATTAAACTATTTAATTGTGTGTCTATATTTTGGAATGGAATTATTTCTTCATTAAAAAGGTTTTTTAAAACACTAGTGTCTTTTTGTTTGTGTTTTTTAATTCCCTTGTTGCAATGACTCTTTCCTAAAGTGGCATGGAAGCAGTCCGTTCAAAGACACAAGGCAGGGTCAACTCTGTGGGGTGAAAGCTGGACCGTGGCTTGGGCATTAGACAGCTGAAGCGAAGCAGCTTGCCTGTCCTTTCTACAAGAGTCAGACATTTTCAAAAATACTAGTCTGCTCTGCCTGGGAATCCTTGTTCTAATCAATCCTAGAGTGAGTGTGATCATGCTAACAGCTGTCATTGAGAGTGACTTCATATCAGACATTTTCTAAGCACTTGGTTACTCCATTTTCTAAGCACTTAATCTTTTGTGGTCTCGGCATCTAGGAAAGGATATGGGCTAATCGTGAGGGTCCAGCAGTGTTTGTGGAGGGAACAAGCGAAGGATTGAGTGAGTGTTGTTCCGCGTGTGTTCCAGCTAAGGAGAAAGGAAGGCCAGGTCCCAGGGAGGTCCATGTGGGTGCGAGGAATGGGATCCAATTAAGAGGTCCAAGATGGGAAACGCGAACCGTGTTGCGAGTCTCCAACTATGGTGCCTTCCTCTGTTCTTATCCTACTCTACGAACCTCAAGGAGGCTCGCGCGATGAAGGGGTTCTGTGGTTTACTTGCTCAGGGAACCAGTTTCTAGCAGAACCAAAGCATTGTCTGTGGAGCTCCCCCTACAGGTCCTCTCTGGATGATCTCTCTCAATGTGACCAGTTCACCTCGGCTTAGCAGAACCAATACCTAATTTTTTTTGAGTTTGGCAAACTGGTTGTTAAAATGGCACTTGTGTTCAGGATTCTCTCTCTCAGTGTGGAAATCACAAATTCACATTGCTTACTCTTTTTTCAACGCTCATCTGCACATCATTGTATGATCGTTCCATCTATAGGTATAAAAATTAGATGGATCTATGCTCGTAGTATTTATTTATGTGTTTCATAAAACTCAGCATACTTGTGAGGAAATACTACATTTTTATTCCCTTGTGTTTGTTACTTCAGAAAACGAACAAATAACATAAAAAAAGTGCCAATCAACCAGAGAGTGACATGCTGTCCTGAGGTTCAGCTTTATGTTAAGCCCCAAATTCCCATGCGATATTATGAGTCCATTGTTCAGTTCCTGAAAGTGTTCAAAGAACTAAAATGTTGTTGGAACAATTGCTGATAAGTTCAGCAGAAGTGGAAATGTCTTTTTCAAAGATGAGCATAATATGTTCAGAGAAGTAGCCTGTTACTAATACATCAAACACAATGACTATTGTCTAATTTTCCTACTGCTAAAGGAATGGGATTCTACTCCTACAATGAAAAGATAGCTAAGGGTAAATCACACAGCCAATGATACTCAGATAAAAGTGAAGACTATTGCAAGTGAGAACACCAATCAATAAGCAGCATGGAAATGTTTTAATAAGTTTTACTGGTTTTGTCAAGAATTACTTAATATTTTAAAATTCTTATAACAATCTACTTTTGTGTACCTCTTGTTGTTTAAATACTTTTATTTAAGTATTAACTGTATGAGATAATCGACTACCTTTCATAATAACTTTTTTCATACTTAAAATGGTCATTAGGACAGCGAACTGGTTGCTAAATGATTTGAATCCCATCACGGATAACATCTTTGCAAACTCTAACTCAGAAAGATGGTGATTTCATTCCACGTTGATTTAAAGATCATAAAAATGATAAACCCCTCATAAGCACCAGAGAAAGAATTAAAGAAGTCTCCAGTAATGAAGAAGAGGCTGATCCTGGCCTGATGTGATCACCAGGCAAAATGTGCACTTTTTACAATGTTTTGAAGTTGACAAAGAAGGGCCTGATCCTCTGTGCCCATCCAAGTTTCTTTAGCTGCAGCTCAATATCCAAGCCCCTCACCTCTGGCTGTCAGGCCATAGTTGGCTCCAATTTCCCTAGATCCAAACATAAAGAGTTACAGCCTCACGAGCCCATGGGGACAGTTCTACCCTGTTGTATAGGTCGCTGTGAATCAGTCACACTGGATAGCAGGAGATAGAATTCTGCACACCTCAATAGGAACAAAAAGCCAATCTGATTTAAAAATGGGCAAAAGACATGAAAGGTTCACAAAACTAATATTCAGATGGCTAACAAATACATGAAAAAATGCTCACACAATCACTAGTCGTCCAGGAGATGCAAATCAAAACAATGTTGAAAAATCACCTACACTCACAATGATAGCTTAATTCAAATAAACAGAAAACAAATGCTGGAGAGGATGCAGAGAGATTAGCAAGCTTATACACTGTTGTGGATTTGGAAACGTACAGCTATTGTGGAAAACAATATGGTAAATAGAATTCCCATAGAGTGCAGCCATACTTCTGCTGGACATATACCCGAAAGGAGTAAGAGACAGAACACAAACAGACATATGCTCTCCCATGTTTCTCGCAATACCGTTCACAAGAGAAAGAAGCTGGAACCAACCCAAATGTCCATCCATAGAAGAATGGACAAAAAAACTCAAGTACATATACACAACAGTGTACTGTGCATCCCTAAAATGCAGTGGTGAAACTACAAAGCACCCCACAACATCAATCTGGAAGCCATTATGTTGAGCAACGTCCTCACTCACTGCCATCCAGTGCATGCTGGCTCAGAGCAACCCTTCTGGGTGTCTGAGACTGTAACTGTTCAGGGGAGTAGAAAACTCCACCTTTCTTCCACGGAGCTACTGGTGATTTTGAAGTGCTGACCATGCAGATCACAGCCCAACTCGTAAACACTACAGCACCAGGGCAAAGCTAGTCAATCGTGCGAAGACACTACTATAAAAATAGGTATTAAGGTAAATGCAGGCATCTAATCTTCTAATGCAGTCTCCCAAACAACAAGATGATATGTTCATGAGACATCTATCACCCCCTGATTTGTACATCTTAAAAACCTGAAGATGCAGCTCAGGAAAGCAGCCAGTCTGATCCACACACATGAGGACAAATCAAGAGGGGAGCACAACAGACTAGGGATGGGAGCGAAGCCACAAAGTCCCTGAAGTATCCAATCTGATCATAGACTTCTGACTCTGGGGGCAGCGCTTGACACTCCATCTGAACTGGTTGGGGATTGCTCACAAGAGGGTCACACTGAATGACTAAAGGTGAACTGGGGGTGGGGTGGGAGGGCCACTTGCCCACTCCATCCCTGACTGCAGGAATAGCAATGGGGACTTATAGAATGCTTGCCTTTCTGACAGGAATGCTGACGACTACAAGAGTGGATGTGTTGTCAGGTAAGTAGAAACCAGGATATGTTGCCCTGAAAGAAAGGTGGACTGGGCTAGTGGTTTAATAACATGTTCTTCTCTCAATTTTAAGAGAGATACTCATCTGCTCTATGTCAGGATCCCTGTTAGACTTGGAACTATCTGTATGATTTTGTTTTTTGTTTGTTTGTTTGCAGGGTAGTGGTATTTATCAGTAGGCAGGAGAAGCAATCTTAGGGAAACAGCAACTGGACCCATGGTTCCTGTGGGGCATGAGAGGGTGGAGGAGAGGTGAGGTGAGCAGAGAGTCAACAGTGATGTGTACAAGGGAACAGTAAGTGTTCTAAACTTGATGGCAAGGAGGGTGTAGCTTTTCTGGTCATGTTTGATCAATTGGATTGTATCTGAGAGGTGAACCATGGGTAAACATAACAGTGGGGTAGGAGAAAAAGAAAAAGTGGAAAGAAGAAGAATATACATATATTATATATAACAATCCCAAGGAGAAACAAACAAGGTCGACGGTTCCAGGGGGACCATGGGAGAGGAGCAGGTGGGGGGCAACGGAGAGGACAGCCAACAAACTCCGGAACAGAGGGACAACAAGAGATCTAAAATTGATGGTGAGGAGGGCATAGAATGACTGGTGGAGTTTGATCAAGTTGAATGTACCTGAGAGGAAGTACAGAGATGAATGATAGTGAGGCAGGAGGAAAGTAAAAGGAAATAGAGGAAAGAACTAGGAGGCAAAAGATATTTATAGAGGTGTAAACATAGCCATGTACATATGTAAATATTTTAATATATAACAATAGGGATATAGGTCTGTGTACATATATTTACATGTTAAGTATTGAGGTAGCCGACAGACATTGAGCCTCTACTCAAGCCCTCCCTCAACTCAAAAACACTTTGTTCTAATACCTGGCATTCTGTGATGCTCACCTACCCGACACGATTCCTGAAGACAAAATGGGTGCATAAGCAAATGTGGTGAGAAAGCTGATGGTGCCCAGCTATTAGAAGATATAGTCTCTGAGGTCTTAAAGTTAAACAAGCAGTCCATTAGCTGGGAAGCAACAAAGCCCACGTGGAAGAAGCACACCAGCCTGTGTGATCACGAGGTGTTGACAGGATCAGGTATCGGGCATCAGAAAATCCAAAACAAGCAATCATATTTATGTGAATGAGGAGGGTCGGAGTGGAGACCCAAAGCCCATCTGTAGACAATTGGACATCCCCTCCCTAAAAGGTCACAAGGAATGAGTCAGTTAGCACCAACGAAACACACAACATTCCCCTGTTCTTTAAAGCTTCCCACCTCCCCACTCTCCTGACCCAGTTCTACCTTACAAATCCAGCTAGACTGGAGTATATACATTGATTGGGACAGATAAGAGCTCTTGACACAAGGAATCCAGGACAGATAAACCCCTCAGAAAGAGTAACGGGAGTAGCAATACCATGAAGGTAGGAGAAACATGGGGGAACAAGGGGAGAAAGGGGAAACCAATCCCAATGATCAACATATAACACCCCCCACACCAAGGGAGATGAACAACAAAAACTTGGGTGAATGGAAACAGCAGATGGTATAAGATATATAAGTAAAAATTATTTATAATTTATCAAGGGTTCACAAGGGTGGGAGAGTGCGGGGTGGAGGGGAGAAAAGAGAAGCTGATACCAAGAGCTCAAGTAGAAAATGTTTTGAAAATGATGATAGTAACATATGCACAA